GCTTATCGTCCATAAGACGGGTTTGCTTGTATAGAATGAATGGTGTCAGCTGAAGGGGGGTGATGAGACTTAGGGTTTCCTGAGAATTGTAAACCGGCCTTTCTCCACGCAATGTAAGGAGTGCACCTGCCTCTCTGTGTGACATTCTACACAGTCACACGAAGTACTCACTGCCATACTTCATACTGTTATTGCGGAGAAGCGGGTGCACTTGGTTGGGAAGGAGACAGAGCTCTTGCTATGAGCTGCTTTTATTTTTCTTTCTGAAAAGTTCATTTGCCGAAGCAACCTCAGGAGTGGTGCTTGAGTAAGAATGCTCGGTGTCTGCGATTGTCTTAGAGGACGGAGCAGTGGCGCTGGGAAGCCCACCGAGGCTCTTGGTTTCTGTTTGGAATGTGCATATGTTCCAAACAAGCGATGGACTACTTGGAGCCACGTGAGAGCCGGTCAGGTTGCCCACGCGGTGTCCCTGTTCAGAAGTGTTTGATCACTCAGCGTGGCCTTCTCCCCACTTTTGCCTCTGCAGGCTGTGATGGCCAGTGACTTTGCGATTTCCCAGTTCAGACATCTCAGCAAGCTCCTTCTGGTCCATGGGCACTGGTGCTATACAAGACTGTCCAACATGATCCTCTATTTTTTCTACAAGAATGTGGTATGTGACTCTGGAGAACGCGTTCCTCCCCCTTCTGTGGGAGGTTGCGCAAAGGATGGAGAGGAAGTGACCTGCACGAAGCTGACATTGCCATGATGTTTGGAAGCAGCCAGGAGCACTCCTGCTGTCTTCCCAGAAATAATTGGAGAATGTGCTATGTTTCAGCTGCTGACAGCGAATTGCTAGGCTTGTCCATCTGCTAGCATTCCCTACTCCCTATGCATTTACATTCAATTAAGTCCTGTCTGGTTCATTTAAAATCCAATTTTTGACCTTCCGTAAGAAGGTTGTGACAAGCAGAATGGAGAAATATTTAATACGGTCCCTCAGTAGGGAATGAAAAGGTTTGCTTCCGTTTTACAGGAGATAGCACGAAGTGTTTGTTGCCCTCAACTTGCTATTCGTGGTAGTTTATTGAATACACAGACAGCAAGTTACACCCAGTGGCTTAGCCTGTAGCTGCTAGTGCTCACAACATGTACGAATTCTCTAGCAAGTCTAGACAGTGTATTTGTGCTCGATACTTCTTTTGATCATAAAGAACTTGGTTAGATTATGTAATGGCTCACAGGCAGAATTTTATTAAAACTCTGGCTCTGCCTGGTGCCACCCTGGGAATATCATTTGAAGTTGTTTTCTCTTTTATAGAAGCATGTTGGCTTTAGCACGGTTCACAGAGTTTCTTCCAGGCAGGGAGCTATCAGGATGCCATGACTTCCCCGATCCAATACATTCTTAGTCTTTAAAGCCCATCAGCACCTCACCAAACTCACGGCCATCAGGGAGTTTCTGACTCATAGCAACCCCATAGGACAGGAGAGACCTGCCCGTGGTTTTTTGAGACGAACTCTTTACGGGAGTAGAATGCCTCATCTTTCTCCCACTGAGCCTCTAGTGGTTTTGAACCACTGGCCTTTTAGTTAGTTAAGTGCTCGATTGCTAACCCAATAGGTTGGTCCTTCAAATTCATGAGTGGCTCCAAGGGAGAAAAGACCTTCTGCCTTGCCCTTGATTACAGCTCAGGACACCCCATGGGACAGTTCTACTCTGTCCTATAACGTCACTGGGAGTCAGGGTCAACCCAGTGGCATCCCACACCAACATTCAAATGTGACCATGGTAGGCTCCTGCGTGGGTGCAGTTTAATCCTGTGTGTACGTGTGTGCCTGTCAGCCCAGTGGAAGTTCTCCGTGGTCCAACTGTGGTTGCGTAATGGATAACAAGGACGTTTCCTACACTGAGCTGACAAAATACAAATCAGAACTGGTATATATTCAAAGTTTCAGAAAAGGCAGAGACACATTAGGGCAGTATTTAAATTCTTAAATTCTCTACCTGGACAAAGTGAGCTCCAGAGAACTGGGAGCTGATCAAGAGAAAATATATGACCACAGGGTGGGTGAAGGGAGACATCGGACAGCGTAAGACATGACAAAATAATAATAATTATAAATTATCAAGGGTTCATGAAGGAGAGGGGGTGGGACAGAGGGGAAACAAATGAGGAGCCGATACCAAGGACTCAAGTAGAAAGAAAATGTTTTGAGAATGATGATGGCAACAAATGTACAAATGTGCTTGACACAATGGATGGATGTATGGATTGTGGTAAGAGCTGTAATAGTCCCCAATAAAATGATTGATTTAAAAAAAAAGATAAGACCACAGGATAGCAAGATCATGTTGCCCCAGCCGTATATGGGGCGGAGGGGTTGACAGCCACATCAGGAAGACTCTCAGAGGCAAACAGTACAAGTAATCACCAAGAGACGAGATCATGGAAAAAACCCGTGAAGAGGAGGAAGGCAGGGGAGGGTGGCCTTGATGTAACCATTACAGCGATGTGGGGGTCTCTGAACCAGAGAACCCTGAAGGACAGGTGCAGCTAGGCGTCCCCCAACTACTTGCTTGGATCTTATCTGGGGACAGCAGAGACTGGGCACAGTTTTGCTGGTGCGTAAGGCAGGCATCTCTCCCTAACTTAAAATATGCTTATTGAGGGATATTTTTAGAACAGATATGCACAAATTTGTTGTTTGGGGGAGCTTTGAGTTTGGGAGGTTAAAGGTCTTTCGTTGACTACAAAAAAAATAAGCATCTTGAGGCCAACACACAGAGGCAGTTTTTGACCCACTTACATAAACTGAGGAAAGCCATGGCTTGTCATTTAAAATTGCAAGGCTCGGTGGCCAATGACTTTTAGAGCGGAATCCCCCACCCAAGGTTTGTCATTGTTGTTTTAATACCGTAATGTTTTCCACTCTGTGGCACCCCCACCCCACTTCCACCAGCCCCAGATTAAACCCAAAGGTAAAACCAACCCAAACCACGGCCTTGAGATTATTCAGACTCCTACTGACTCTAGGATTTCCAAGACTACCTGTCCACAGGAGCACAGCCTTCTCTTTCTCTTGAGGAACAGCTGGTGGGTTTGAACTTGACTGGAGCAGTGGTTCTCCACCTTCCTCATGCCGGGACCCAGTAACACAGTTCCTCATGTGGTGGTGACCACCACTCCCAACCATAAAATTATTTCCGTTGCTACTTCATAACTGTTCTTTTGCTACTGTTATGAATTGGGTGATCCCTGTGAAAGGGTCATTCCCCCCCCTAAAGGGGTCGCCACCCACGGGTTGAGAACTGCTGGACTAGAGGTTAACAGCCCAATGCTTACCAGACAGCACCAACAGGATTCTTAAAAGAAAGGTGAGTACTAGAGAGACGGCACTTGCTCTGGAAGAGAGAAGGGACTTCCTCAGTAGAGAGAATGGCACCAGAGAGGGAGAACCCCGAATGGTTTCCACTCAGAATCCTCGGATGGCCATTTATACTGATGTCCCTCAGGCTTAATGTCCACCCCTTAGTTACCCAGCCAAACCAGGCATGCTGTACAGTGTGCAGAGAAAGGCTCAGTGCCGGGAGCCAGTCAAGTGACTCATCTTACTAAGACCATGGTCCTTAGGCCAGGGACAACTTGTGAGATCCTGGTGAAGGCTCTGGGTTCACTCCCCCGAATCATGACCAAACCATGTGTTCCTCACAATGATACATTTCCAGAATGTATATTTTAGACTCAACACTTCTCATCTAAGGCTTGCAGCCTCTGTCCCACAGGTGTGTGGTTTACCTACAACCCTAATGACACCATTTAGAAGGCCCTGTACACATCGTAGCCATTCATAGGAACCCATCGCCATGGAGTTGATTGGGACCCATGGTGACCCTGTGCTTGCAAGGGTAACACTCTGTAGGGTTTCCGTGGTGGGATTTTTAACCCCAACAGTTTTATTGGCATGTAATTTGCATATTATATGATTCAGTAGTTCAATCGCATCAAAAATAGTTGTACAGTCATCATCACAATACATTTTAGAACATTTCCTTCATTCTTCTACTCATCATTATTAGCTCCTCATTCCCCTGAGCTTCCCCTGCCATACCCCCCAAGGGACCCTCGATACAGTTAGTATCTCGGGAGATTTACATAGTCTGGATTTCATTTAAAGAAAAACATTTAAAAACAAACAAAACTAACAAGGATAACAAAGCAAAATCTCAATCACAAAGAAAGCAGAAAATATTAAGAACTAAAACAAATCTAACTAGATCATAAGGGAATCTTGATTTCTTAGGGTCTTTCTTCTGCAGTGCCACTGAATGGATTTGATGCAGCCAGTTTTTCTCTTGATCACTGAACACAAACTATTTGTGCCACCCGGGACCTCCCTAATGTGAGGATCACCCCTAAGTCTGTAATTCTCATTTTATAGGACAATAAACTAAAATTTGGGGGAAATTTTAAACGGACTAAAATCACATAGTCACTAACAAGTACCCCCAGACCTTGGAAAAGACCCCCGAAAGCTGAGTCCACTGTCTTTTCCAGTGGCTTCCTTGCACGAGAGCACAGAGGTTCTGCCGTCATGGACTTAGTTTGTAGGAGACAAAATACCGTAGGATGTTTTGACCTTGCATCTACAATGACCAGGTGTCCTGCTCTGCCGGAGAATGTCCTAGTTTGGGCAATGATAGTCCCACATCCTGGGAATCTTGGAAGGACCAGGCTCACTGGGACAACTGTTACCCTGCTGGCCCATTCTACTAGAACGTAACTGTGGACCCAGGAAGCAGGAGAACGAGCATTTGTTTAGTGCTTGTACTTCCCAGGCACCGGGGCAGGTGTTCTTCATCTGGAGCTGAAACACCTCCATTTCAGCGTTGGCTCTGCCAGTTACAATCTGAGTCACCTGGGACAAGTTTCTAATATCTCTGTGCCTCCGGGTTTCTGTAATCTGTGGCATACGATCAGTAATAATCCCCAAGCTCTTATGGTATTGTCAGGAGCCATCGAGTCAGTTCAGATCCAATAGCAAGCCTATGCGCAACAGCAGGAAACATGCATGGTCCTGCGCCGTCCCTGCCATTGCTCCAACGGCTGAAACCATCGTGGCAGCCATGGTATCAATTCATCTCCTTAAGGGCCTTCCTCTTTTCACTGCCCACCCCCCACTTTACCAAGCATCATGTCCTTCTCCGGGGGCTGGTCTCTCCTGACAACATGTCCAAAGTATGTAGGATGAAGTCTTGCCATCCTTGCCTCTAAGGAACACTCCGGCTGTATTTCTTCAAGACAGATTAGTGTTTCCTTATAGCAATATTGGGCAATATTGGCAATACGTTCAATATTCTTCTCCAGCACCAGAATTCAAATCATTGTTCCTTCTTCAATCTTCCTTCAAAGGCCACCTTTCACATGCATAGGAGGCAATTAAAAATATCATGGCTTGGGTCAGGCACACGTTAGTCCTCAGAATAACATCTTTGCTTGTCAGTACCCTGGAGAGTATTGAAGCAGCAGATTGACTTGACACTATGTGTCCTTTGATCTCTTGACTATTGCTTCCATGAGCATTGATTGCGGATCCAGGCAAGACAAAATCCTTGACAAATTCTACCATTTTCTACATGTACATGATGTTACCTATTTGTCTGGTTGTGAGGATTCGGATCTTCCTTCCATTGAGTTGTAATCCATATTGAAAGCTACAATCCTTGATCTTTATCAACAAGTGCTTCAATTCCTCCTCACCTCCAGAAAGCAAAGTTATGTCATCTCCATATCTCTGGTTAATAAGCCTTCCTCCACAATTGGTGCTACATTCTTTTTCATATAATCCAGCTTCTCTCATGATTTATTCAGCATACAGATTGACACACACCTTTCCTTATTTCAAACCATGCAGGATTCCCTTGTTCTATTCTCACAACTGTCTCTTGATACATGTACAAGATGCATGTCCAAGAACAATAAATACCTAGCATCACATAGTGAGAAATGTGTGTGTGTGTGTGTGTGCATTTTAATTTTATGAAACAGTTTCCAAGAAGAGCTGCAAGGTAAGTTTTGGTCTCCCATTTAGTAAGAGAGAAAACAGAATTTCAGAGATGCCAAAATTACACAGTTAACAACAGCATATATGGAATGTATAATCAGCACACATTTTTTCTAAGATCTAAATGTTCCTTTCTGTATTCTAGGCCTATGTGAACCTCCTTTTCTGGTACCAGTTCTTTTGTGGGTTTTCTGGGACATCCATGACTGACTATTGGGTTTTGATCTTCTTCAACCTCCTCTTCACCTCTGCCCCTCCCGTCATTTATGGTGTTTTGGAGAAAGACGTGTCTGCAGAGACACTCATGCAGCTGCCTGAACTTTACAAGAGTGGCCAGAAGTCAGAGGTAGGTGCTAGAACAAATCCTTAGATGGATATAAATTCATTGTCAACAGCAGGCATTTCTCAGCCAACCCAACCCAACGAGGGACATACGTCAAAAACTATTGTTAATTTATTTGAAGCGCCTTGTCATCTTAAAGTATTTCTAATAACACTTGAGCTGAATACAGTTAAAATACCTTAAGTATGTTAACAGAAGAAATCTGATTTCTGAGACCTTACAATAAATAATATCTAGCACTTACTAACCCCCTGTTTCATCTGTCGTGCTAAGTTGTGTCTTATTCACCCTCACACAATATTCTTTGAGCAGAAGCTATGATTAGCCCTGTTCTGAGATGGTGAATCGGAACCTCAATGAGGTTAAATTGGGTTCCCAAACATCTCACAGCTAAAGGTGGTGGAGCCAGACTGTGGTCTCCCTGTGGTTCCAAAGGCAAAGTTAAAATTTCCAGGTCTCTGGTCATTCAGGAGACCTGGTGGCAGAGTGAGCTACGTGCTGGGCTGTTAACCATAAGGTCAGCAGTTCAAATACACCAGCTGTGCCATGAGAGAAAGATGAAGTTTTCTTCCAAAGCCCATTAGTAGGCCACTGGAGATCCCCTTGCAGAGGGGTCTCGGGGAGGAGATGAGCCAGTCAGGGTGCGATGTAACAATGATGAGAAATACAATCTTCCTCTAGTTCCTAATGGTTTCCTCCCCACTCCCACTACCATGACTTGAATTCTATCTTGCAAGACTGGCTAGACCAGAGGAGGTACACTGGTACAGATAGGAACTGAAAATACAGGGAATCCAGGACGGATGAGCCCTATAGGACCAGTGGTGTGAGTGGCAAAACAGGGAGGGTAAAGGGAGAATGGGTAGGGAAGAGGGAACCGATTACATGGAACTGTGTGTGACCTCCTCCCTGGGGGACAGACAACCAAAAAGTGGATGGAGGGAGACGTCGGACAGGGCAAGATATGACAAAATACCCATTTATAAACTATCAAGGGCTCATGCGGGAGGGGGGAGCGGGGAGGGAGGGGAAAAATGAGGACCTAATGTCGGGGGTTTAAATGGAGAGAAAATGTTTTGAGAAACGATGTACAAATGCGCTTTACACAATTGATGTGTGTATGGATTGGGATAACAGCTGTATGAGCCCCTAATAAAATGTTAAAAAAGATTAAAAAAAAAAAAAAAGAGTCACAGTAGGAGAAACCCACAGGGGAAGTGGGACCCTGTCCTTATAGGGTCACTGTGCAGAACGGACCTGATGGCAGTGAGTTTAGTTTGGGGTATTGTCACTCAATCAAGAAGGCTCTGGTGAGTCTATGGCAGCATTCTCACTTTCAGTGTGGGAGACCAGGGTTCGATTCCTAATCAAGGTACACAAGCAGAGCTACCACCCATCTGTCAGTGGAGGATACTGTGTTGCTCCAACATTGAACAGGTTTCAGTGGAGTTTCACGTTTAAGACAGACTAGAAAGAAAGGCTTGGAGTTCCAATTCCAAACTTCAGAATGTCGATCACAATAATTTGATTCTATGGTGCCGGGTACCAAGAGCACATTCATGACACACTAGTAGCCGTCAAACAAGCCACAGAGACATCTTAACAAGTCTGTGGCCTCTCTCCGATTCACTTGTCTACCAGTTCTCCCAGTGGGCCTCTGGTAGACCACTCATATTTGTCTCCTCTCCCCCAACCCTTTCCCACCGTGATGCCGTAGCCCTTATGGTTTCTGACTTGGGTGTTGTAGTGGCCAATTAACTGGGTGTCTCAAGACTCTTTTCTTTCTAATTCATCTTTCACAAAATGAATCGTAACCACCACTAACACAGCACGGATATAGGAACATTGTGTAATACCTGCTAGGTCCCAGGCACTGTTTTAGTGGGGAGCACACATAAATCTAAACTTCAAAGCAATGCTACCAGATTAAGTACTGCCATTCTGTCTACTTCGCAGTGGAAGTCAGACACAGGGAGTTGTCCTAACATCACGGAGCTACTGAATGGGTGCAGTCAACCTTGAGCTCAAGGGTCCATACTCTCTCCCGTTACGCTACAGAAAGACTTGTTATGCTCTCTTTGCATCTTGGGCGCCCTACTTTGGAGTTTCATAGCCACCGGTCCAACAGGATCACAGGGCTGAGACAAACAGGGGCCCCATAAGCACACAGAAGTTGGACACAGCTGAGTTGGTCAGTTGATGAGTTGTCCCTATCTTGAGAAGAGGACTCTTTTAGGCAGGACCTTTTCATTTTCAAGTGACAGAGAACCCAGGTGAAATTGGCTTAGTAACCATGGAAACTTTTTTTCTTTTTTTCATGACAAGGGGATAGAGGGGAAACTATTAACGCATATGGCTACAGAATCCAAGCATAATGGTGACAGGACCCTGTTATTCATAAAGCAACTGTGTTTCTTGATTATGACTCATTGGCTTTTCTTAAACATGCCATGCTGGCCCCTGTGTTTGTCCGTTTTGCTAGGAAGATAGTTTCCTTATTATCAGACCTGGGACATATATCTAGCTCTGAAGACAGAGAGTGAGTCATCCCTATCTGTCATTTGACATGGATGGTACTGGGAAGAAGAATTTCCTACAGGAATTCTGGACAAATGAAAAAAATAGACACAGTTTAAAAAATTTTTTTAATTATGCTTTGAGTGTTGAACTTCAATCGCTGCTCTGAAAATGCTGATCATGATCAGTTCAACACATATTTCAAGAAGAGGATTATGTTTAATCCGAGTTCCAATTCAGCTCCTGGAGGTGTGCTGCCAGTAAGTTATTTAACTTGCCTGTGCCTCAGTTTCCTGTTTTCTGAAGATGATGGAAGGATTAAATAAGAGACTTCATGAAAATTTTCTAACCATATTAAGTTCTCAATATTGTTATTTCTACCCTCTAGAATTAAACATAAAGTTAGAAGAAATCCCCCAATTTAAGATGATGCATTAATTTTAGTCCAACTTTTCCCCGACTTGAACTGCCTTTTCCGACTGGGAGTTATTTAATGTCCTTAGGCAATCGAGAGCAGCCTAATCAGAGGAGGAAACCATCATACATTCAGATTTCAGAGGAGAAGAAATTCTTATAATCCTTTAATATCATTCAATCTATTCAGAGTGGGAAACATGAGCTTTTCCTAAAGGAGTCTGGTCTAACTTAGAGATCAAGCAAGGGCCAGAATGCAGGAACGTGTGGTTGATATCAACGAGGGTTGTCTCTAAACTCAGAGTTAGGTTAAATTCCATGTCCTTTGGAGAAGGGGGAATAAAAACCTCAATCAATGTTTTTACAGCTAGGGTTTTTAAAAGCCCCTTTACACAGGCTGTTACACAGGCTGAACATTGTAATTGGTCCTTTCCCTCAGGAGAGTTGAGGTCATTGTTTCCTGCTGTTGAACCCTATTATCCATGCTTTGCACACATTGCTCGGTTGAGCCGGCCAGTTTTATAAAGCATGGTGATGGGCAGATTCGCAGCATGTGACCATTGATGAAAGGTCACTGATTTCATCGACTTTACCTTCCAGAAGCTGTCCTTTTTATGAACTTGCTCTCCAGACAAATGCCATGTCATGCCTGGGCCATTTGCTGTCTGCAGTGTCATGAAGTGTCCTCTCCAGGGTGGATAGTCTCGCTCCTGTCACGGAGACGGGGCTGGAAGGCTGCAGGCAGAGGCTCTCCTTCCAAGAAGCAATCATCTGTGACCCAGCCTCATCACCTTCACAGTCTTCTTTTCCCTCCGTCACTTCGTCTCCGGATTTTCCCTTTCAGTTTTCAAGAAATTGCACGAGTTCATCCCATTAGCTTCTCATTTATTTTATCCTTGACTCCCTCCTCTCCACTCTGCTAAGCCAAGTTACTCATGGGGGAAATAGTCCTTTTTCCCTGTTGACTGCAGGGTTTTGGAGCAATTTTTATTGCTGTGGCATCGTGACATAGGTTAGCTCATCTGTAATGTTCTCTTGGTGCAGTGATTTGGGTTGCTCCTTTGACGGTGGCACAGTCTCTGGGCCATTTGATTGTGCTTCTTGCTTCAATTTTATGGACATTTGGATGAAGAGAAGCAGGGCACCCTGACACGCCAAACAGAAAATGGCAAAAGAAGGGATAGAGAGACATAGGCTGAAAACAGTGAATCCTCAAAGTGATAAAAAAATTATAAATGTAAAAATTGTAAGGTTAGTTTTTTGAAGAACAGATCGTTCTCATATATGGATCGTGTGTGTGTGTGTGTGTGTGTGTGTGTGTGTGTGTGTGTGTGTGTTAAGGGATGTCATCTGGAAGACAGCTTCAGGAGTCACTAACACCTTGTGAAGGACTTTTCAGGCTGGCTTTGCATTTTGAAGGACACCAGACTAAAAAGAGCAAGTTAAGGAAAGAAAGGACTCGCCCAGGGAGATGATGCATGGGCTTCCATTTTATCTGTGGATGGAATCCTTCTGGGTCTGAAAGCAACCTCAGAATCTCTGTACACAGTTATCCTAGCCGCCATGGCTGTTCCATCAGCGTTGCTCTTGTTTTCTCATCACTTGACTAGTGGTGTCTCTATTTGATCCTTCTCTTTCTTTGGGCAAAAACCATTTAAGCACATTTAAGGTATATAAGAACAATTTATTTGTTCACCAAGTATTTCTTGAGTGACTACTGTGTATCAGACACAACTCTGGTCATATGGATAAGAGTCTGTCTCCCATGCCATGAGCTTATGTTCTGATGAAAGAACCAGAAAATCTGTAAGGAAAAAACATCATTTCTGGTGGTGATGAGACTTCTAAGAGTACCAAGAGAGTAATGAGTGATTGGGGGTGACACCTTTTAAGCTTATCCAGGAATATCTTTATGACGAGGTTATTTTGACCTAAGACTGAGGGGTTGGCTAAAGGGAAGGTTCAGGACAAAGAAATCTCCGGAGAGTGAACTCCTGGCAGGTAAACACCCAAGGAGAAAATGAATTTTGCATTCATAAGGAATAGAATAAAGACTTTGGGCTGGAGCATAAGGAGGGAGCATCCAGAAGGGAGGAGGTGATTCCGGAGAGCTCTGCGGAGCATGGACAGACATGCAGGGCCTTATAGGTCATAGGAAGGGGTTGCAGCAGAATAGCAACTGTATTGGAAATGCAACGGGAATTCATTGAAAGAATTGCCGACCACCAAGCCAAACTTACAGCCATCGAGCAACCAACCCTTTAAAACAGAATAAATCCTTTGGGTTTCTAAGGTTATAAATCTTTACAGGAGCAGAAAGTCCCATCTTTTTCCCACGGGCAACTGGTCGATTTGAACTGCCAGCCTTGCAGTTAGTAGCCCAATAAGTAACCCCCACTCCACTAAAATAGGAAAAAACAAACACTGCTGTGATGGTAACTCATAGCAACCTTGTAAGACAGGGTAGAACTGTCTCTGTGGGTTTCCAAGACTAACTTTTTACTAGAGTGGAAATCCCATCTTTCTCCCATGGAGAAGCGGGTGTTTCTGAACTCTGATCTTGTGGTTAGTAGCCCAACACATAGCCATGACTCCACCAGGGCTCCCTGTGCTGTACCACTAGGGCTCATTTTTCCATCAATAAGATACGCCATTTAAGTAACACTCACACTTTTCCACGTAAAGTTTAAGTTCGTCCAGGAGAAATCATTTAGGGATATTTTCCTTCAGGACAGTCACCCCTTCTTCCTACCACTATTGGGAAATTCCACCTGTCTTTGAGTGAAAAGGCAAGTACTATACTTGTTTATATTGCCCCTGGACTTTGATTTGACCTTGTTCATCTTACTCTCTCCCCTGTATCTGTTTATTTCCCAGGCATACTTACCCCTGACATTCTGGATCACCTTGCTGGATGCCTTTTATCAAAGTCTGGTCTGCTTCTTTGTGCCTTACTATGTGAGTTCATTGTCAGTCATTCTGTTTGCTTTCAATGAATCATGATGCTCACATGCATTTTGCCACTCTTATCAACATATCAATGGGTAGATTGTTCATATAATCGGATGAATTAACTGACTCAACTATGAAATCTGCCAAAATTAAATTAGTTAATTGATTGGATTTGGAGATGTGTGCCTCATTCGCTCCTGGTTCTCTCTTTAAGCCTGCACTGCATGGTAATCTTTGTCAATGCCTTGAATAAAATTGATGGTCTGGCCAATGTAATTAAGTCCGTTAAAAATCAGAGAAGCAGCAAGAGGGGTGGAGGAGGGTACAGTCTGCTTTTAGAAAGTATAGACTTCATATTGCCAAAGGTGCATGTAGTCAGCACAAACAAAGTACAAATGAACGTGTGCCCACAGATGGACATAAGCATGCATGTTATAAAGGTAGATTCTGACTTCACGATCAGAAAATTGAAAGCCATGTATTATGAGGAATCGTTTAAGGACTTGAAGACAGGTACGTAAGAGAGTAGGGGATATTTATTTATGAAAGGAAAAGAAGTCACCGCAAAGTAGTCATAATAGTTACTTTTAAAGATTGGAAGCTGTATTAAGCGGAAGAAATTTGACATGTTTACATCCCTTACACAGATAGATCTATGAGTAAAAGTTTCCAAAAGACTAATTCAGAGTTCAAAGATTGGATGGCCTGTCTGCAAGACATTCATTCTGTTTGGTTGCTGTTGTTATTGTTTATTTTCCAACACTGAAGTTTATCCTAAATGACCAGTAGTTGGAAACATTGCCGATGAGGCTCAAGTGAATTGTAGGATAACGGGACCACTAGGGGACCTTCCAGCACCAGGTATGTGTGCATCCTTCTTAAGACCACTAACTAAGGTCCTCTCTTTGTAGACCTACCAGGGCTCAGACATCGACATCTTTACATTTGGAAACCCTCTGAACACAGCGGCTCTTTTCATCATCCTACTCCATCTGGTCATTGAAAGCAAGAGTTTGGTAAGTGCTTTTTGTGCTGCTGAAGTAGCCTGCATCTCTTTGCAGTTGAGCCAACGGCTTCTATTAGCAAGGACCCTGATAAGACCTTCATGCCAGAAGACAAGCGGTAACGAGAAGAATAAAGACTCTGTGGAAGAAAGGTGACACCCGTGACTCATGTTGATCATTGTGTACCATTAAGCTGAGTTTAATGTGTGACAAGGGAAATCAGAAAACACTGCTGGGCCCCCTCGGGGATGGTTCATGGAGGTGTGAGTCAGGCTGGGAAAATAGTCATCCATCCATGGTCAGCATTCTTTATGACCAAGCTAACACCTTGCTACTAAAATTCAAAGAGTTGTTGCGCCATGGTCTTATTCCACTGACTTTATTAAGCAATGCGTTTATGCCTTCCTCTTTGCGTTAGTCCGGGTTGATTACAGAAACAAATTCAGCTACACTCATATGTGTATAATAAAGAGCTTTACATCAATGGGTAATTGTATATTAAGAAAGCATCCCAACCCAGTCTAGATCAAGTCCATAAGTCCAATATTAGCCCATATATTCGAGACCAGTCTATAAATTCCTCTTCAGACTCATGCAACACATGCAATGACGCCAAATTCAGGAAGATCACAGGCCTGTGGGTGGAATATCTTTTGGATCCAGTGGCAGTGGAAGCATCTCAGCCTGGCGTGGGTGTCTCCACATGGCTCCTCCACTTCGAGGGCTCTGGCTCCATCAGCGTAGCACCATGTAGCTTATCAACAGGAATGTGTAACAGAGAGTGTGTGTCCCCTCCAGGGAGGAAGACAGGAGTTCCCAGAATCCTCAGGAGAAGGCCATGCCCGCACAGAAGCCTCATTGGCTATGACCTGATTGACAAGCTAGACTCCACCCCCCTCGCAAGTTGACAGATTATGTAACTGCCACATTCATAATGCAGAAAAAGTGATCTCTTTAACCCTAAAAAAAAAAAAAATCTTTACTTTCATTTAAATACCGATCTTTAAGAAGGAAAAATAAAAACTTAGTTGTTGATTTAGTGGTAAATATTAGGACTTGGGGCTAAAATGACTGCAAGCTATCTCATTGCAGCAACGCCAGTGTTTAGGACTCAGATGGTAAACTTGATTGTCAGTTTGCCTTTGCAGGTGGTACAACAGCCAACCAATATCTGGAAAAGAAACTACTCCCTGTGACTCCTTATGACACTCCTTTCCATGGTCATTGCCTCTGCTATAGGCTAAGCCATTGCTGTCACTTCCTGAACTATTGCCATTGCCTCCCAACTTCTGTCTTCCCACTTCAACTCTTGACCCCTTGCTCCACATAGTGCTCAGAGCTATCTTTTTAAAAATTTAAATCAGATCATATAACTCTCTCTTGGCTGGTTTCTTTTAAATGGCTTCCCATTGCACTTTGGAAAAGCCCTTAATATGACGTACAGGGCCCGGTGCAATGATGCTCTACTTCTAGCTCCACACAGGAGCCACCCCACCCCACTTTCTGTTTAATAAAGACAGATGTGCTCATTGGCACATCAGTGCCTTCCCACTTACCACACCTTCTGATGGGAAGATGGGAATATTCTTAGTACCCCTGTCCCTTGCACTTATGCTGTTTAAAAAAAAATCACTAGGTGTTGAGTTGAATTGGGTTCCATGAGGTTTTCTGTTGCTGGTTTTAGAAATACATCACATGACATGAGGTTTTCTGTTCCTGGTTTTTAGAAGTACATCACACGCCTTTCTTCTGAGACACCTCTGGTGAGCGCCAACCTTTTGGTTAATGACTAAGAAATTTCACTGCTGGCACCACCCCTGGACTTCCTGAGCACCATTTTTTTTTATTAGGTCTCACCAAAATTATTACCTGCCGAAGGACTCTTCCCTAACTATCCTTTGTCTCAACGCCTCCTTTTGTTTTTCACACACAGCAATAAAGGTCATTTGCAGTTGTCCATTTGATGGTGCCATTGTTTGGTTCCTGGAGGCCTGAGTCAGCCACACCTTTAAAGAATCCTTTCTAGGACCATGGGAGGGTTAGCTGGAGCCCACCGCCTCCATGGCCCTTGTCAATAAGCAGCAGCCAACTGGGCAGCTGAATCGGCCTCCCTTCAGGCTTTCGTGCCTCCACCCTCCACTTTCATGGTGACTTCCCACCTTCCTGCTCGTTTCTGTTCAAGGCTTCCTTCTCTTTCAAGTGTTGCATCACGTCATTACACGGGTGACCTTCACAGAGCCACTGCCTCACTTTTCCAAAGCGCATCAGTCTTAGGTTGGGGGAGGGGGGACGAGACATCAGTGCAGTAAGGCTCGAGGAGAAGAAACGACATGAAAGAAAAGTAGGACCACGGGAGCCAAGAGTGTTTGAGGTGTGAGGATCTCAAACTAGGGTTTAGCCAGGATGTTTCAACAGTTTGTCTATTTTATTTGCTTTGTGATGGTCGCACCAGGGTGCAGCTGCTTTGGCAGTTCTCTGCTTCAGCTCACAAGGCTGACTTCCTGCAAGACATCCCTGAGGAGAAGCCACAATGAGTATTCCTGGTAACCCTTATAAAGACAGCTCCCATGGGGAAAGACTTTGAAAACCTCAGAGGAAAAAGCAGACGAGATTTTCTTTGAGAATGTAGCCCTAACAAAATCAAAAGGGTTAAACAGAGGCAGTGTTTCCTCAAAATGCCAGACACCCCCCACCTCCCATCCACCGACTCACCAATGGCAGGCAATAGTATGTTAGGTACTAATATTCAATAAACAACATCGAGTATTGCAAAATAAAGTGATTCCTGTCCATCCTTCTGATTATACCAAAGAGGATGTCTGCTGGGAGCTATTGTGTCTGACCGCACTGTGGTCAAGTTGCAATCACATTGATTCTGACTCGCGGCAACTGCTGCATGTAGAGCTAGTCCACTGAGTTTTGGGGCTGTGACCTTTGAAAAATGGAGCACCCAGCTTGCCTTCTTGATGGCTTTGACCGTCAAGCCTTTCATATAATGGTCAAGTACTGAACTGGTTTCACCACCTGAGTTAATTAGTTTATTGTGCCAACCTGGCCAGTAAACACACAGTGGGATTAATTGAAAGGCGGAGGGATAAATGGCTCAGTGAGCCTCGCCTTTTGAGTTCTCAGGTCTCTTGCTTTGTGATGGTCGCACCAGGGTGCAGCTGCCTTGGCAGTTCCCTGCTTCAGCTCACAAGGCTGACTTCTTGCAAGACATCCCTGAGGAGAAGCCACATGGACCTACCCCGATGCAGCCCTGGGTGCTGGAGCAGCTGTGTAGAGACCCCTGCCAGCGCTGAGATGCTTACACATTCACTGACTCGGCTTTCTTCCTGCAGTAGGCATCATTGTGTCTGCTTTGTGAGATGGAGGAGGACTTTGTGGATTGGTGTTGGACATATGGGTTAATGTTGGACTTGTGGGCTTGGGAAGCACTGTGTTGGGATGTTTTCTTGATACAGTTAACCTTTATATAAAACTCTCTCTTTTACATGAGTTTCTGTGGATTTGTTTCTCTAAAGTACCCAGACTAATACACCACCCCAGGATTTTTCTCACAATATCTCTTGCTAATTTCCTGTGAGAGCTAGGACAAATCAGACCCCAACCTCAGAGCAATGATGGCAGGGATTACTGATATTACACCAAAGGAGCTGATCATGCTGTTCTTTTTCAATAAAGTTATTTAAGGAGTGAACCAGTTTAATGTTAATGAAAAATATTCATAAAAATAAGATGACAGGGAAGATATAGATACATTAAAAAAATCGAGGTGAGATGTTATCTACGTGAGTTTAAACACAGTTATCGTGTAGCCTGAAAAACAACAGCAGGACAACTCAGGAGACAACAAACATTTCTTACACTGCAGTCGCTGAAGGTCCAAAGAGTTCAAGGGCAATTGTCCTCTCAGGGTAGCTGTGCAACCAGACTCTTGTCTCCTAGCTGTTATGTCTGGAATTGGACTTCTCGGCCCTCATGCAGGGCATGGGGTGGCATGGCAAATGCACACCAGCCCTTCCAGGCTGACACTGGAAAATGGCACACGGTCCTGCCACTCACTGTACTGTTCAAAGAAATGGCTGTGTTTCATTTCAAGGGGGCGGGGAAACACAATTCTCCCAGTACTAGGCTGTGGGGTTGGGTGATGAGAATAGCGGTGACCAGCAGTGACGTCTACCAACCATGGGCATGGCTAACGTTTGAGGCCCGGTAGATAAGGCATTACCTTAAGGAAGAAACGGAGCAAAGAGTGACTCAAAAAGAAAAAGAAGAGAAAGAGACCATCTGAGCCCGTTATGGACAATACAGGGTGAACTCACCCACTGTCTTTGTTCCCATAGTGGCCCTGGCTGTAATCCGTAGGGAAGCAGACTCGGACATCTTCCTCGGGCACTGCAGCTAGTCGGTTCAAACTGATGACCTGTTGGAGATCATCTGAGTGTTTAACCCTGGCACCATCAGGACTCCTGTAACTTAAACTCGTCAGTTAAACTTGCCAACAGGATGACCTTTTGACATTTGCTCTCATTTTACAAAACTCATCCAGTGATCTGGGCGGTTGGTAGACCTTAGCTGGTTATCGCATCATCACGTTGAGTACACCCCACTCGGTCACAGGATCCATGGGGTTCTTTAACAGCTTTTGCCAGGCTGCAAAACCCTCTTGACGCAGGAGTGTTCCTATTCTCCTGTTTGTGTCTTACAGACTTGGATCCACGTGCTGGTCATCGTTGGTAGCTTCTTATCCTATTTTGTCTTCGCCTTGGCTTTTGGAGCCGTGTGTGTAACTTGCAACCCACCATCCAACCCCTACTGGATTATGCAGCAGCACCTGCTGGATCCCGTCTTCTATCTCGTGTGCACCCTCACGACCTGCTTGGCTCTCCTACCCAGGTAGACTGTTTGCTTGTTTTAGAGTCAAGAATGTAAATGAAATCGCAGGCTTGGAGTTCTGCGAGCAACTAAGCATGGAGGGCAGACTGTTCTGTTTAGGAGTGGGGCAGCCAGTCTGTGTGCTCATGCACATTGTGTTGCTACCGATTTGAACAAAGAACAAATGTGACTCATCACCTGGAAAGTTTCTTTCTCTGTCAGAAAGCAAACCACCTCTAATCTGGTTGGAAAACTTTGCCACACAGGCTTATCTGGAGACCAAGATTCCTTCCTCCATCTCTCTGCTCTGTTATCTCCCAAGGGTGTTCTTCTCCTCCCCTTGCTGGGAGATGGCTGGCTTGCCATCAGCATGCCACGGCCCTGCCTACTGAAAGGGGCAAGAGTGAGAGAGGAGTACAGCAGCTTTCCTCGTTGAGCGTCAGTGAGCGGTCCTAGACGTTGCACACATCACTATTCGTATCCCATTAACCAGAACCTTAGTGGCCGAACGCCAAAGGAATGGCAAAAAGAGCAGTTTGAAAGTTGAGCGGGAGATGATGGGGCTTGGTGTGGAGGAACACATTTCTCCAGCCATCTAGGAGCACAGAAAACCTTGTACGTCCCCACCCGTCTCCAGCGTCAGTTATCTTTCCCACTGGGACTTCATCTGATTGTGAATATGTCTGAGTTGAGGATGACTCAGCAGTATGCATGAGCTTCCCACGTGTAGATTCTCTGATGTGTATTATCTCTCGACTCACTGCCATCGAGTCAATGCTGACAGAGTGACACTCGAAAGTAGGGTAGAACTGCCCCTATGAGTTTCTTAGACTGCAACTCTTTATAGGAAAAAAACCCAGTCTTTCTCTTATGGGGCAGTTGGTGGCTTTGAACTGCTGACCTTGTGGTCAGTAGCCCAATGAGTAACCACTACGTCACAAGCACTCCTCTGATATTTATTATAGTTTTATAAAATCTGTTTCGTGGAAAATGAGACAACAGAGAGTTACTCTGAATTTTTAGCACGGCATGCTGAGTCCATATTCATTTATAGCAGAGATGACAAACTGGATGACAAACCAAATCTGACCTGCCTCCTGACTTCGCAGAGAAAGTGTTGTTGGATCACAGTCGGCGCGTTCTTTGCATAGTGCCCGTAGCCGCTTTCATGCTTAGACCAGCAGGGTTGAGTAATTCATCAGTCCTTCTGCCTCTCAGATGGACTAAGATAGTCCTCTCTGGTTCTTTAAATGTCTCCCAGCCCCACTCTGTGAATCCACAGGTACAATGAACATAATCTCTTTGTTGCTAATGGACATCTCTTCGACAGATACAAAATAAAATCCCCCAAGTTTTTCTGATTCGGTTATACTTGTAGCCCTGCATAGGGTTTCTGATGCTGTTAATCTTTATGCGAGCAGATGGCTTCCTTTTTCTCCCAAGGAGCAACTGGTGGGTTTGAAGCATAAACCTTGTGGTTAGCAGCCAGCACCACCAGTGCTCCTTATACTGAACAGTATCACTATTAAGCTGAAATGCTTCTGTAGTCTTCATGTTGCTATGTTTTCAGATTAAACACTGGTAAAACAAAATGGCAAAACTGCTGAAGAAACAAAGACTTTAAGGCTACAGCCTTTTAAAATTGTTTCAGATGTATTAATAGTACAATTCTATCTAATCCAGTTGTGGTAGGTTGAAAAAAAACAACAGCTACTTAAAAGACACCTATATCCTATTTCTTGTGACTGTTACCTTATATAGTCAAAAATAAAGGATGTTATGAAATTAAGGCTCTTGAGATGGATCCCACAAGAAATACCACACATCCTTATGCGAGGGCACAAGGGAGATTTCACACAGACAGAAGGCAAAGTGAATACAGAAGTAGAGACAACCCACTGGAAATTACTTGGAATGCCAGATTTTCTTTATTCCTCCCATATGCAGATTTGGGAATTAAAATGTCTTGAACTGTTGCCTTCGGGGGGTCCTGCTCCTCTTTTGGGGTGCAAATAGCTTGCTTTTCAGTCTTACAGATTCAGAGATGGAGAGGAATTTCATCCCAGGATGGGTCACACCCAGAGTCTCAGTCACACCTAATTTTACATAATGAGATTTGGGACTTTTAAACAGATGGTATTTAGATAAGATTTTGGAAATTGAGTTGACACTGTAATTGTTGAGGCTTTGGGATATGCTAAGATAGGGTGGATTTATTTTTGCCTGAGGAATGGATATAAATCTTTGGGTCCTGATGGCAAACTCTAGTAGACTGAATAATCTTCCCCAAAGACTTCATTTCTTAATCCCTAGAACCTGTGTTACATGAGAAAGGAATCACGGCAGATATGATGAAAGTAAGGATTTTTGAGATGAGGAGATTTACATGGATGTTTCAAGAGGGGACCTAAATGCAAAAACACATATGCCTATAAGAAAGCGGCAGGGGCAGAGCTGCCACAGACAGAGAGAGAGAATGCTATGTGAACACAAAGGCAGCAAGTGGAAGGATGCAGCTACAAGCCAAGGAATGGTAACAACCACCAGAAGCTGGAAGAAGCAAGTAATGAATTTTTTTTTCTCCTTAGCATCTCCATAGGGAAGACAGCCCTGCTGACAACTTTAGTTCAGTCCAGTGATATGGATTTCAGTCAACGGACTTCCAGAACGATGAGAGAATAAGTTTGTTGGTTCAAACCGCCACTATGTCCATGGTAACATGCCACAGCACCCTTGCCATAGGACACTAATCCATTTAATGAGCAGGGTTTTGTGTGCCACCGCTCTATCTGCTTTCCAAGTACTATCTCATTCACCCTTAACATCAAGCCAGTGGCATTTAAGGGCATCTCTACTTTCACCAACTTAAAACATTTTTTAACAAGTACTTATAGAACACTTCACATGTTCTAAATAGTTTGCAAAGACTAGTTTATTTTATTTTGTTGCTTCCCTTTTATAATTCTTTGCTTTTTTCTCTCCCCTCTTTCCACAAGGAGACAAATGGGCACGAGGTCCTCCCACTTTTTCTGGGCAGTGGGTCTGAGGTGTGTGTAATTCTGTGCTTCTCTTTGTGTTCTAGGTTTATATACAGAGTTCTTCAGGGATCCCTGTTTCCATCTCCCATTCTGACAGCCAAGAACCTGGACAAACTGTCTCCAGAGGAAAGGACTGAAGCTTTCAAGAGGTGGAAAGAAACCAGAACGATGGATCAAGTGGCAGCTAAGCACACTGATCATTCAGCTGCCCAGCTAAGGAAAAGACCCAAGTCAGATCTTCCCACTGTCTCTGAAATGATGTCGGCAGCTTCATGTGCTGTTGAGAAAGGAAATGGATCTGTATGTGAAACTGCTGTGGACTCCGAGATGCCTTGGACCTCAGGGATGGCCGCACCACCAAAGGATTAAGGACACAGGATAGCCTACTCTGAGTCACACACATTCCTTCAACTTTGGAAGAGGAACCTTGAGGCTGCAACACTGTCAAGCCAGCTGAACTTGGACGCTACCTTTAAGACTGTGATCTTTTCAGTGGGCTTGGGCGGTCATCATGACGGCATTCCTCGTAGGCTTGCAGACACGTTTGTAAAAGAAAAAGACCTTGTTGTGGATAGATAGTTTGTGAGATGAGATACTTTTATGAACTTTTTTTTGGATTTTGTAAGAATATATTAATCATCTTAGAAATCCATATATTTTAAGCAGGGATTCATTTGAGGTCAACTTATTTTGCTGAGAGGTCATCTCAGATACTTGAGAAATGCTGAATATGAGCAATCTCCAATCAGTTTGTTTGTTTTTTTAAATGAAGAAACCAAATCGTTGTTAGAGCAGTTGGTGAGAACACAGAGGAGGTCCACATGAAAAAGGTTATCTGTTCATTTCCAGATAAATTCGCAAGAGCCTTTTAAACAACAGTGCACCCAAAGTAGGGTAATAATTGTACTATTGAAAATACAGGTAGTGGTCCTTAATCACATTTTATTTCCTTTGGGAAGATGTGCTTGGTCTTCTGACAGGAGATATTAGTCATACCTCTGCTCATTTCAGTGCTCTGAGCAGAGTCTTCCTCAGGAGGGGGCAGAGGGGATGCTAGGGCACCATGAATGTGTTCTTCTGTCTAGTCCAGCCCGGAGAAGACCATTTATGTGGCCTAACTCTGCCTAGTGGTTTGGAATTGGGAAACAAAGATCACAGGTCAGGCGGACAGAATCAGCTGAGCCTACAGCCCATGTGGAAATGCCCTGTACTCTAAAACTGACAATACCCACTGTACCACGTCCTCGGGTGCCCACAAGTCAGTTCTGAATCATAGCGACCCTTCAAGGTACTTCAGTTATGAAAAAGATTTGTGCTCAATTATCAACCAAAAGGTTGGCAGTTCAAAGCGCCTAAGAACATCATGGAAGGAAAACCTGATGATCTGTTTCCCTGATGTGACAGCCACTGAGAACGCTGCGGAGCACAGTTCTACTCTGAAACTCAGGTGGCCACCATCAAACTGAGAACAGCCTGCCCAAAATAAGACAATCAGTAGCCAACCACTCTTCAAAAGACTGTTCAAGGGATCAGGGTCTTTACATGATGAGAAAATCTGCTACAAAAGACCATTCTAAAGTATTAGAAAGCAAAGATGTCGCTTTGAGGGCTTAGGTGCACCTGGTCTGAGCCATGGTGTTTTCAATGGATATATATATATATATACACATATACATACACACACACATTATACATAAGAATGTAGTATATATATCCATTGTGTATCAGAATATATCCGTGAAAGCTGAGCCATGGTATTTTCCATGGATTTGCATGCATATGGAAACTGGGCAGTGCATTGTCGTGTTGATAAAGACTGGTAACTAGATCATGGATCCCAGCAAGAGGAACAAATCTGTCCTGGAAGTAGTATAGCCCGAATGCTCCTTAGAGGTGAAATGGTGAGACTTCATTGCCCTTACTTTGGTTTTGTGATCAAATGAGACTTGTCCTGGGAGTAGGGCATCATGCATGGCAAAGTGTCAGCAAAAAAAAGAAAGGAGGCTCTCTAATGGGACGGCTTAACCCTGTGGCTGTGATAATGGTTTCAAACGCAGCAGAGGTTTTGAATGGGGTGGGAGCAGGCAGTGTTTCAGTCTGCTGTGCTTAGAAGGTCACTGTGGGCCAAAGCTGACTTTAAGGCACCTACGAACAGCAAGTTTTCACACTACTCTACAGCGTTTATGGTGAACCATTATGAACCCAACGAACGTAGGTTATTCTCAGGATATTTCCATGGGTTTATTAGAAAAAAAAACAACAAACTTTTAAAATACATTTTAGGACTATCGATGGATGTACTGTAGCAAATCACGTATGCTGGCTTTCATTGGAACAAAGGGGTTATTTATACCAAAAATGGCAGATGCTATTAAAAAGTATGCCTTCTTATGAATTTTCTTTAAGTTCTCTATTCATCTGAAATTGACTCAATGGCAGTGAGTTTGGGTTTTATCTATTTGAACGCCATTTGTCAGCCAGAAATTATCCAAAATTTCTTTCATGAATCTCCATGCTAATGTTCTGTCTCCATCAAAATCTTCTTAACATTATTATTCTCAGGGCTTACTCATGCTACTCCCTACTACTGTCTAGTCTGACGTTTTTACTGCAAATAGCCTATGTAACTAATCGCAATAACTTTGAAATCTCCCGTGGTTAATGGAAGTTGTCTTCTGCTTCCTTAGGATTTTTATTTTTAAATAAATGATTTCATAAATAACATGTACCAAAAAGTTGTCATCCCTCCAGTATATACTCACTGAATCCAACTGTAAGTGGTACCAGAACTTGAAAGAAAGTCCCAAACCTGATCCCTTACCGGAATATTGTTTTGGCTTTTCTTTCTATGGAAAAATCAGTGATGTCATATCACTCGTTATCTTTATAACAGCTTGCATTCATTCCCCCAAATCCTCGGCTTTTGATGAATAAAAACTGGGACATGTGTTCACTTGTAAAGAAAGGGTTAGAATCTACAGATGATTGTGCCAAAAAAGACAGAGAAGGGCCAAGTTCCAAAATGTGAGTTATTTATACAGATAAGTAGAAGAATATCTTGAATCCTCATGAGACGGGACTACAACCTCTTATATCCCCAATCCCAAAATAGTCACATCTCTGAAAAGAGAAAGATTCTCATAAATTAGACACCAGGGCCCTGAATAGACAGGAGGCTATTTATAGTCTTCATTTATTCCATTTAATGTAATTTTTCATTTCTTTGGCCTCAAATAAAATACAGTTAATTTCTGGGGCCACCCCTGTCCTGCGTGGATAGGCTGAGGCCTGAGGGCGGTCGTGAGGACGGCACAGGATGGGGCAGTGTTTCGCTCTGTTGTTTGCAGGGCTGCTATGAGTTGGAACCAATTTGACAGCAACTAACAATAGCAACACCAGTCCTCAGTGATGATATAATAGGCAATATATGTTCTGTACTACCAGCTTGAAATTTGAAAGATCCTGGTTTCTGAAATACGTCTGGCCCTCAGGAGAAAGGGATTTGGGGATTTGTGTTAAGACTTTGAAAGGTCTCATTTACAAGTGAGTAAGTTACTCATTAACACCAAAGTACCCATCATATTTTGGTATATAGCGTATTTCACCTCCTTTTTTGAGTCGAAAAGCTGTATCATTCAACCTACTAACCAATGAAAACTGATTGATAATATGCACTTTAGGATATATTTTAACGCAAAGGATTGATAAGTGATTTGGATCTGGGTATCAAAATACACTCCGTACAATAGAGGCTCGTGGGCTTTCACCAAGGCTTACATTCTCCCTGAACACTCAGCAGACTATATGGGACTATTAGCAACCTCAAATTTCCAGCTAATCCAACAGCCCGCCTGTCATTGAAAGCATGCGCATGCTCCCTGAGAGTGAGGCATATGGGGGGCCAACTTTGACCCATGGGAGATGCATCCACTCTGGAGAGCGATTAATGGGAGAGACAATATCCCTGGAAATGCTACCCGGGCCCCATACCCATCCGAGAAGAAAAGATGATGCTATTCAATTAAGGATGAACAACGGTGAGTACAATACGTATATTTAAGTGAACAGAAGTTGAGCAAGACTAACATTGTTACGTTAGCCAGGGTACCTACAATTCTAACAAAGCCGATCTATGTTCTTAAGCTTTCATACAATTGGGGTGGCCACCGCCCAGTTGCTGAAGTCTCACACTTGCAAACTGCAAGAGAGGAGACCAACACAATTTTAAGTTTCAGGACAATAATTTGAACTTCAAAGATGTGTACGCATAGAAAAAGAGTACAAAAATATGTGTACAAAATTGCAGGTAGTCTTTCCGTGGGGTGCTGAGGCCATCCGGGTTGCTGGTGGACGGTATGCAGAGTCCAGCGGGCCCATGAAGCATTTGGATGGCCCGAAGAAACCTCTGCAAAGTCAGTTAGGGCGATGTGGAGATTTGGGTTTTGCAGCCTTTGGGTGGGAAAAGACTGGAACCACTACGTGCTATGTGTAAAGTGACCTAGTGCTTAAAAGCATTAAAAAAATTTTTTTTTGTTTGAATGATTACAATGCAGTGGCGACACCAGATGTTAAACTTCCATCGAAGAAAATTACGAAATGTTTGTCTGTGGGCGAAATTCAACCGTGGGTCCAGAGACATTTCTGTGACTTTGTTAGCAGAGGTGAACCCAGGCAACCTGGAAACAGAGCAGTAGGGGTGTGCAGTGCAATTTCATTCTTGCTCTTTAAAAGTTTGCATCTGTTTGGCCTGCAGCAAGCCTGGCTCCCTGCGCAGTCTACTCTCCACACCACGTCAAGGCGGCCATCGCTGTGGGCCGGCCGTTGATTTGATTCTGACTTACAGTCACCGTAAGGGACAGAGTAGAGCTGCCCCATAGGGTGTGCATGGCTGTCCAGGCATGCTTTGGGGATATTGCAAGATGGGCTCCAGACTAAAGCAATCCAGCCAATAGGACAATAAAGTGAGCCACACTACTTTGGGGGGTTTACACTATATTATAGTCTATTGAATATGCAAAAGCATGATGGAAAAGGTTGAACTTTTGCAAGGATGACCAAAATGAGACACAGAGACGTGGCGTGAGTGCATGGGGTGGGGGTGGGGGTGGGGTGCGGGGAATGTTCAACACACAGGGTTGCCACAAACCTTCGGTGTGTAAAAACAACCACCACAAAACGCGGTTTCTGCAAAGCTCATTAAGCCAGGGTATGCCTGTAAGCTTTAGGGGCTGGAGGGTGGTGATGGTGGTGGTGGTGCAGATTGCCCGTTCTTTTCAACAAGGGCCGCTGGTGGATTCAAACCACCGACCTTGCCACGAGCAGCAGAGCTGCATAGCCACTGCTCCAGCAGCGCTCCCTCCATCATCTCATAGGGGAGCACATTTCCCCCAGAACATTGACCAAGTGGTGTAAATCTCCAACCGCATCGACCTCAGCTGTGGGGCATGATCTAGGTACACATAGCTCGACAGGAATGGGTTGGCCACGTTGACACAACTCCAAAATGGAAACGTGCCCAGTGTTGCTAAAGAGCTTTGGCCGCAGTTTCCGCTACCTAAATGGATGCTGCTGCTTTCTGACCTCTGACTGGCTTTCGTGGCCTCTCAAAACTACAGAAAAGTTGGAAAACTATGACGAAAGAAGCATGTATAAAGCCTGGCTCTTCAGAAAGCAAGCCTCCACCGTCCGATTGAAATGAGCCACTCTGCTATCCTGTTTGAGACACAAGCTGGCAGACGAGCCGGCGTGCATCTCGACATCCTTTTCGTGTGTGATAGGGTATCAAGAAGCAGTCCCTGGCTTGTGACACTCGCTTCAAACCACTCTGGAGCTGATAATTCCTTGCTGCAGCCTGGCCAAGGGAAAAGAGCTGCTTTGTCTGTCTTTTGGAAAGCCTTTCCTTGAATGAAGTAAAATAAAAGTAAAGCGATGAATAAAGTTAGACTGGAACAAACATGGAAGTTTACAGTGCACTTGCAAGCATTCCCCATCGTGCGCAGGGCTCTGGTCCGCGTTACTGCAGGAAGCCCTCCACTCCACCAAGGCCATTCACTCCGAGTTGGCTAGGCGAAAATCTTCGGTCATCTTGGGAATTAGTTTAGGAGAAAGGTGTGGGTGTATATTTGTCTCTCAATCCATTCGACGAAGTATGACACGTTGCTATAAACTCCGGGACCCAGGACTTTGGAAAAGCAGACAGAGCCCCATGAAGTTAAACCAAATAATGTCCACTGTCCTCCAGGCCGCTCACAAACAAGGGGACCACCGCTGTCACCCTGTAACGAATGGTAATTGGTGTTAGTCACTGGCATTGCAGAGCTCCAAGAGTGTCTCCCAGTGTTCTGAGGGTACCACAAAGCCAAACGCAATGTAACCAACTTCTTGGACATTTTCAACGAAGCCCTCATTGTCAGGAATGTGGGAAAGCCATGTAGCTTACCATAGGAATGGAAGTTTCAGGCGAACGCTTTCATCATTAAGAGGATGAGGGTGCTTGTGAGAAAAGATTCTATCCTTTCTGTGCAGTCAGAAGATGCTTTTCACTTATTCCCCACACTTACCAGAATGGATCTCAGATCGATGCACTCCTGTGTTAAGCTTCATTCATCGTATACATGAAAACCAAAACATTCCAAGAGTCTTCTCCTCATTAAATAGCAAAGTATCTTGGGGAAAGTACAGACTGACTACCCCAAGGAAGAGAGAATGGTGAGACGGAGTCTCGTGTACCATGGGCATGCTGTCCAGAGAGACCAAGCATGATGTCCTTGTCCAGGGACGAGTCAAGCTGCTTATGATGTGAGGAAAGGGCGACAAGCAGATGACATGAGCCGCTGGCCGACACTCATAGATTAGAAAGAGAGTGAAGAATTCGTTATCATCGACTCTGCCACGGTGTGTGTCTGGACAGAGGGAGAAGAAACTTTGTCCAGGAGGAGCCAAGTGTCTGCTTGTGCAACAAAAATAACTGCAACAAGAAGGAAACCTAAGGACTGAGGGGAGGGGCATCAAAGACATCCACGATTACTTCTGGATGAAGAAAAAATGTCAAGGCCATCCTAAGATGTAGATTTTTAAATTACACCCAGTGAGATGGTCCACCAGGTGGAAACCAAGTGCAGAGAAAGCAATTCAGAATGAAAAGCAGCACACAGCCGCAGGCACAATTTGTTAGTTCTGCCTCCTCTTAACAATAGCGGGCTGCAGGCCAAAGTTTACCTGTGGTGTTAGTATTGATCCCCGTGATTTATAGACCTTGACGAAGGGACACATACTGTCCAATGTGTCCTTTTGTTGCAATTAAGGAAGACAAGGCATGTGATGTAATTGAAGTTGTGATGTCCAGTCTTGCTTCAACCCAGTGAAAAACAGCTTTCTTTCTAGTTGTACTTTGCCTTCCAGCTTGAGTTGTGCTAGATAACAGCTGGTATGCGTTTAAGAGACCGGCGTGGGGTGAAGCTTCTTTATGAAAGAAACCCTGATGACATAGTAGTCAGGATGTACCCCACGCGGGTCTCTTAAATGGATACCAGCTGTTATCTAACACAACCCCAGGCGAAAAACAAAGCAAAACATAGTGTTATGTGTTGGGCTGTGATTCACAAGGCCAGCAATTCAAAGCCGCTAGCTACTCCATGGGAGAAAGACAAGGTTGTCTACTCCCAGAAAGAGTTAGTCTCCAACACCCATGTGTGCAATTCCAACCTGCCCCATAGGGTGACTGTGAATCATAAACAACTCCATGGCAGTGAGACAAAAAAGTCGAAGACCCTAGTTCTGATTACCAAAAACAATCACCATCAAATAGATTCTGACTCATGTACCATTGCAGTACAGTATAAGGTAGATAGTTTATTGTGCCAACCTGGCAGATAAACATATATGGGGTTAATTGAAGGGCAGAGGGATAAATGGCTCAGCGAGCCTCGCCTTTCGAGTTCTCAGGTCTCTTGCT